GGAAGTTAATATTGAATTAATTTATTAAATGTCCTGCAGGTATTTTCAGAGATGCTTTAAATTTCTAACTTTATTTATCATATGCTCAAGCAAGTAAACATTTAAAGTCTAATCAAGTGCTTAGCTATAGGTATATCATTATAGTGTGGTACACTGATGATGGCTAAATAAAGCTAAACCTGTGTACTGGTAGACATTACTCACAGCTCAAAACTTTGTCAATTTCGAATTGATAGAACTTAGTTGAGCCACCTGATTAATGTCTCTGAAACATCTTGTATTACTATATATTGCAATATAATATAAACTAGTAATACAACATGAGAACCATCAAAAGAATGCTATTTACTTACATATGCTATTTACTTAGATGTGATTAAAATAATATATATGCATAGGCAGATGTCAGTCAATATTTCAACTCATTTCTTTTTAGACATATATAATAGTTTTTTTAAAAAAAGATTTTGGAGATGTGCCAAAATTAGTTGGCACAAAATAATGAGTTGCGGAAAAGAATTAGACCACTGGGAATATTTAAAAATCCAAATTTTGGGTAATCTCCTATTTTCTTAGTTTTACATAGTTCCATAAAACACAAATAGCAGTTTTATCGTTGCTTTTCTGTTGTTTTACAAGCTTAATGTTGTCTGTCAGGGCTATGATGCAGTCAGCATTTTTAGACTGGCATGCATGAAAACATTAGATCCGAGACGAGAGGCTCAGCTTCACTGATATCCTGTAGTGTTTTGTTTCAGGAAATGCCATGCTGGTGATTATAAAGGATGAAGTCATACATTTCTACCAACCACATCCTACCATTATGGTAATTCTAATTGTAGTAAGATGTGGAATCAATGAAAGATAATTTTTTTAAAGAACTAACAAACAAAATAAAGCTTAAAATGCTCGTCAACCTTTTGTTTAATCACGTAACTTTACCAAAAAAAAAAAAAAAAAGTATATTATGGTTCTGGAAGAATAAAAGAATATGAGGAATGTATAGTTTTTATTTGAGGATCTCTGAATGTATACAAAGCTATTATTAGTATTATTATCAACATCATTGTATGAAGTTTTTGTCTTAATGGACTAACTGGTTGAAGTTAAGCATAAGTCTATGACAAATCAGGCTGCCTTTTTAAAATTATAGTGTCATTAACTACTTCTCTACCAACATATACTTTTCTGCTGTAGGCAGCCTATTATTTTCTGCTTTTTTCTTACAACTAAAACCACAAAATTAGAATTCGAAGGTAAAGTTGATACCTCTCTGGGACTTATTCCTACCAGTGGAGTCAATATTTGCTGAAAGCTGGGTTCAGTAAGGGGATAGATACTTGCCTTACCATGATGTGATTTTGCATATTGGTCTATTTCACAATGTCAAACTCATTAATGAAGACACATCTTTCCCTTCCTTTCTTCACAGGCTCAAGATTTAGAAAGTGTTAGATTCATTCCTTCAATACTTTGTTATTGGTTTTTCAGTATTACACTGTTATGGAAGTTCAAGGTATAAATTAAAAATGTCTATGAATCAAGAGGTTTACAGTAAAGTCAAAGAGGAATATATATATATATATATATATATATATACATACAAATATTTTAAGTGGCGATTTTATTCTTTGTGCTCAAGTGAGACTTTAAAGGCTGTTTTTCTTATGTTTTAGGAATAATTACTTGACCTACTCTTTCAAAGTTTTACTACCTTGTTGTAGAATAAGATTAAACTTTGGTTTATCATGTTGGGGTTTCCAAAATTCTAAATTTCATGTCACTGAATTTAGCCACAGATTCCGAATGGAACTTAGCCACAATCGCAACAGAATATTCTTTTTTGCTTCAAAATTATACTTAATTTATATTAAGGATTCACCTAGTTGCAATGGAGGTTATAGTGCATTTCTAATAAGGAGGTATATCTTATTTGCATTGAATTTTAACCCCTATATTGAGTTGGCATTAAACACACAAACTGTTACAAATTAGAGGAGCCTACATGAATAGGGGCTTGAGTGGTTATATTGCAATGTGTCTGAACACCTGCTATCCAGACATGCTTAACAATGTAGTGAAGACTGTTGTTAGTGCCACAATGGAGACAATCTATTTTCAGCTCTTACCCCTACCTACAAAAGAGAACAAATGCAACCTTCCCCTTTGCTACAGCATAGGACTAACCCCAGATCATGGGGATTGCAATCACAAAAAATTAGCTAGATTTTAGAAAGAGAGCTATAGGCAGAGCAAGCAAAAGGAAACCTTTCCCTTGGTAATATAGCTGTCAGCATTTTGTTCAAAATATTTTAAAGAATCAAAACCTTATTTAACCATTTGCTAAATGGTACCTGAAGTGAATTTAGAGAAATTTAACATAGAGGAAGAAAAATTGATATGGTTTGGCTCTGTATCCCTACGCAAATCTCATCTCGAATTGTAATCCCCACTTGTCAAGAGAGTGATGTAGTGGGAGGAGACTGGATCACCTGGGTGGTCTTCCTCATGGAGTTCTCATGATAATGAGTGAGTTCCCACTAGATCTGATGCTTTCAAAGTGTTTGGCTGTTCCTCCCTAGCTCTCACTCTCTCCTGCCACCTTGTGAAGGTGCTTACTTTCCCTTTGCCTTTCAGCATGATTATGTTTTCTGAGACCTCCTCAGCCATTGTGGAACTGTGAGTCAGTTAAACCTCTTTTCTTTATAAATTACTCAGTCTCAGGGAAGTTCTTTATGGCAGTGTGAAAACAAACTAATACAATAATCTGCACATGGTATCAAAGGCGTTGATAGAAAATGTTACAAACTAAGCACAGACACCTTAGTCATATTTTCCATGATGTCTTTAATTTAGAGAAAACAAAAGTTTTCTCCAAACTCTAGGGTAAATACACACACATCTACATTTTATTCAATAGAATGCAGGGGATAAAACGATTGCCCTTTTCAGAGGTCTTGCCTTTGCTCCCAGGGTCACATGTCAGAAAAGTCTTGGAGAGGCGGTGGAGTTTACTGTGAAGTATAACAATAAAGTCACAAATTTGCTGGACATACTTCAGTTTATGTAATAAAACTCCTTTCCAGAAAAACAACCACATGTCAAGAAGAGTGAATTCATAAGATCCTTCTCTCTAATAGATATGTTTTGTGGAAATCAAAACAGTAAAACTTAGGCAGCAGATGCAGAGGCAGAAGTAGGAAATCATAGTGAAGAAAATCACAGGACTTTACAGAAAATAAGAGGAAGGCTTTGGTGTTAAGGGGAGGAGATCCAGACAAACATCCATCCATGTCTCACCCCAGAGTTCTGGTTCCATCATTCTCAACAAATCCATAAGGGTCTACACAGTATCTCAATTAAGGAACCTCTACCAGATTAGGTGGGTTCGATCAAATAGAATAAAGCTTCTAGTGCCTAGAATAAGTCAATGAGCTAAGTAATGGCCTTTTCAGTTTTCTCATTTAAAAAAAATTGATTCTACTCGATTTTACACTATCATTTTGAATTTCCATGCCTATACAGGCAAAATCATAGTTATATAGGAGATTTAGCATTATGTAAAATATATTTCATCTTTCAATATTTTGGTTGTATTTTTTGGTTAAACAGTTTCCTGCTTTCTTTTTACCTTAACCACATCATATAGGATATTTCCATCTCATATTTTTCTATTTTTCTGTGCAGGGGAGTAAAGAAAAAATAGCAAGAAAGTGTATGGGTAAAGAATCATTTTAATAAACCTCTATTCATAGATATTACTAGCATAGATGCTACTAATGGCAGACACTAAATGACATAATTTGAATATTTATCCCCTCCAAATCTCATGTTAAAATTTGATCCCTAATGTGAGAGGTGAGACCTGATGGCCGGCATTTGGGTCATAGGGGCAGATCCCTCATGAAGAGCTTGGTACCATTCTCCTGGGATTGAATGAATTCTCACACTTAGTTCCTGTGAAATCTTGTTGTTAAAAACATTATACTACCTATCACCATGACATGCTTGCTCCCTCTTTGCCTTCTGCCACGATCGGAAGCTTCCTAAGGCCCTTACCAGAAGCAGATGCTGGTGTCATGCTTTTAGTACAGACTACAAAACTGTGAGAGAAACAAACAAAAAACTCTCTTTTTCTTTATAAATTGCCTCAAGTTTTCCTTTATAGAAATAAAAATGGTTTCTTCTGTCAGAGTCAGAGTAATTACTCCTTCCCTGAAGGTAAACAAGATGAATACTCAACACTTGGCATTGCAAAACATGCCTCTCTGAATATACATAAAAATTCCTGAGGCTGGGCATGATGGCTCAAACCTATAATACCAGTACTTTGGGAGGCCAATCACCTGGGGTCAGGAATTTGAGACTAGCCTGGCCAACGTGGTAAAACCCCATCTCTACAAAAAATACAAAAATTAGCCAGGCGTGGTGGTGCACACCTGTAATGCCAGCTACTCAGGAAGCTGAAGCAGAAAAATCACTTGATCTTGGGAGGCAAAGGTTGCAGTGAGCTGAGATGGCACCACTGCACCCCAGCCTAGGCAACTGAGCAAGACTCCATCTAAAAAAAAAAGAAAAAAAAAACTCTTGAAAATGTAAAACATGAAAGTACTTTTTCCATTACTGAGGGTAGTATTGTTTGTAGAAACTCTTAAGTTATATGGAAGCATTTTCAGTTGTATATTTTTTCAGAGGAAGTTTTATTTGGGGATATTTCATATGTAAAAACTGTTGAACCAGACAGTTACCAGATAGTTACTTAAAATAAACAAAACTCTGCTACTTTATGAAAAGTTCAATAACCAACAACCTCACCCTGCTCTGAACTGGTAAAAATGCCTCTGTGACTGACAAATGGATGAATCAGATGACAAGCACATTGAGACAGACATAGCTGAACCTCTAAACATATGAACCCCCACAGCTCTTTGTGCATGGTAACCAAATGAGGCTGTTGTGGATGTAGTACACTATAAAAACAAAATGTGAGTTACCTGTGGTTAGCAACAAATAATAAAATAATTAGATGCTATACTTTATAGTGATATTTTGAGTGGACAAAACCTGACAATGATAGAAAATTTGAACTAGGTCACGTTAAATACAAGAATAGGTACTTTTGGAAGAATGTAACTGGCTTTTTGATGTTTACCTGCCTTCAGAGACACTTCTGTAGGTCCTGAATTTTGACTCAGAAATATTGGTAAGAAATTGAGCCTGTGCATAAAACCATGTCTGGAATTATGTTGCAAAGGGTACCAGCCACATACATAGCACACAACTTGAGTAGTCCCTTGCAGAGCTGAGCAACACAGTGGCCCTTCCTGGATAGTCTGTGCCAGAGGTGTTGGTCCTATATCAATGTTAGAAAATTCTCTGAATTTCTCGGCCTCCGTATCATCATCTCTAGAATGGAAATAAAATAGATATCCTTTGTCAACAAAATACAAGGAGCTGCAGAAATGTTAGTTGCCATAATACCTTTGCTTTTTGTGTTTTCTTTCTGTGAGAGATGAAAATATACTATAGATCTGCATTATGCAATTCAGTAGCCACTAGCCACATGTAGCTATAAAGTGCTTTAAATATACTCAGTCCAAACTGAGATGTAGTCTACGTGTAAAATAATACCCTTGGTTTTGAAGCTCTAGTATAAAAAAAATAGGTCATTGATAATTTTCATTACATGTTGAAATTATAATATTTTGATTCGATTTATTTAAATATGTTAATAAGATTAGGTTCATTTGTTTTTATTTTTAGAAAATCTAAAATTGTATGTTTGCATTTGTAGCTCACAGTACATTTGTTTTGAGTAGATATACTCTAGACAAATGGTTGTGATAGAATAATGAAAAGAAGAAAAGGTAAATATGAAAATATCATTAATAATTTCAGGCATAAGAGTTTATATTTTCTAAGGCATAAGGATTTTAAGACTTAGTAAATGTAGCTAATAAGAAAAGTAAACTTGAGAGTAAACATGGGTAAACATGAGAGCCAATTTAGAACACACTGCTTCAAGTGATTGCTCCTGTGGAATCAGGAAGCTGGGCTGTTTGCATATTGATACTGTCAGTCTTTGGTTGAGGACTATTCCTGGTGGCTGGTAATTCTCTGACACTTCTGCCTTACTCTAGGGTCAGGTGACAAGAACCTCCTCTTTGACCAAGCATTAGTCAGGCTCTTTTGAGGCCTGTTCTTGACTAAGCCTTATGCTTGGCCTGTGGAGGGCACTTTTATCAAGAGTCCTGCCAAGCCAGTTTAGTGAGACTCCTACCCCACCCCCACTGCCGCTTTTCTGTATAACCAAGTTCCTCTTTACCCCACCTTTGATACCTAACCAAGCTCTTATTAGTAACTTTTTATCCACTGATGCCCTCCCCTTGCCCATTGGCTGTGAATCCCCAGATGTCCCTACTGTATTTAGGAGTTTATCTCCTCTGCTGTTGCAATAGTCTTGACCTCTATAGCAATAGACTTTAATAAAGTTTTTCTTGCCTTTTAACTCACCCTGTGCATTTTTTCTTTGACACAATTCATGTGACAAATATTTGTGGAGTTTCTGTTATGTGCTAGGTATTATTTAGGTGCTGACGTCATAGAGAACAAAACAGACAAGATACCTGCTCTAATGGAGTTTTACGTGGGTAGAAATGGGATAGGTGGTACAGACAATACACAGCTCAATGAAAAAATAACGGAAGATATATGGTATTAAGTGTCATGAAAATAGCTAAGCTAGGATATTGTGATAGGGAATTACTCATAGTTATCTTAGAATAGGTGGTTAGGCGAGACTTCTTTGAAGTGGTGACAGGAAGCTAATATCAGAGTGACAAGGAGGATCTAGCCAAGCAGAAAAGCACGCAACCTGGAGCTTTCTGAGCAATAGGTAGTTTTGAGCCCTGGAACAGTCTGCTTGTCAACTTCTAAGAACAGAAAGAAAGTTGAACCTGTTGGATGGTAAGAGGCAAAGAAGAGAAGAGAGTGATAAGCTCAGAGAGGCAGGTGAATGAATTTGGATTTCATTCCAGTGTGATGGGAAACCATACTGCAGTAGGAGCTGCATGTTAAAATGATGCCCATTTTGAAAGATCACTTGGGCTACTTTGTGGAAAATGGATCATTGAAGGAGTTAGTTGAAGACTGGGTTTGGCTTCATGTAATAGAAAACCCAATGCGATAACTTAAATAAGATAGAATTTTGTATCATTCTTTTTGTTTTTCTCACATGACAACATCCAGAGGCAGACAGCCTGAACTGCTGTAGCTATGTTTGTGATTTCTTTGGTGTTTTTCTTCATGTTCAATATTAGTTCTGAGTAGCAAAAAGAAAAAGGACACCCAAAGGACATAAAGCTTCTATTCCAGCTGAATCATATCCTTTTAAAGCAGTTTATTTAGAAATCTCACCTAAGAATCTTGCTTACCGTATGTGGGTCAATATTGGCATATGTGCCCAATACTGTAGCAAAAAAGACTATTTTAGGGTATTCACCTAGACTCATTGCTGCCTCCATAAAAATTATGGTCAGGTATTCATCTTTCTAAGTCTATTTCCTGTAAAATAATAATAATAATAATGATAAATAGTTACTGCATTATGGTGAAATTAAAGGATTAAATGAGATGATGTGATCAGAACATTTAGCACATGCCTGGCATGAATGTAAGCTTCATGAAAGTAGGATCAACTCTGCCTCATGCAAGCACTCAGTAAATATTTGTTGAGTGCTGAACCAATAAATGCATGAGGTAAATTCTCATGAAGTTCTTAGGGTAGGACTGTGGTTGTACCACAGTCAGTAGAGTGTATACATTTGTGTTAAAAATACATAAGAAAAAAAAAACACCAACAGAGTGCTTTACAAACATATAATTAACAGATTCCAGATTAAGCTCACATTGCATTCTCTGGGTTTTTGGAGGAAAACTCATTGCTGGTAATGTTGTCCCTGGAGTATTGCCAACATTCAAAAATATCAATTGGCTTCAAATGACGTTCTCTGAAGGCAGGATAATGCAGAAGACAGAATTTAACTATTCAAGAGCTTTGAGTTAGTTTAAAACAAACAACAAAATGTTTGCACAATTTTAGATTTTTTTTTTCATTTTAGGGAAATAATTTACAACCATCTGAAAAAAAAAAATAGGAATCTAGTGTTTTTTACATCGTGCATTACATTCCAAAGAGGTGAATATTTTTTCTCAAGAAATGTAGTTATCAAGCTGTTTTTATGAGGTCTTAAGTTTTGTTTCCATTTTGTGGATTGCTGATGGCCATTTGCTAGCTTTTCTTTGTCTAAGGCTTAATTTTAAGCCCTATTATCTTATAGTCTTACTCTTTAAAAAGTTTCATGCTGTTAACAAATTTACCTCACAGAAACAAATGTCATAGTCTCTAAGCAATTTTGAAAATTTAACGAATGCCTAGTTAATCTGTATACTTTTCTGAAGCTGAGGAGCAATGTCTAAGCATTTCTATCTCTTCAGTAGAGTGATAAAGTTAGTCAAGGAATTTATGAGGAAGCTCTTGAAGATCATGCAAATGAATGTAGATACCATTTGTTGACCATAAGGAACCACTGATAGGCTTCTGAGGAGGGGTATAATGTGTTCAGATTTTCAGGTTAGAAATAGAATTCTACCAGCAGGAGGGAAGATGATGGATTGAGGTAGTCCTGATAAAGGAAACAGAAGTAACCAAGTAGAATACTGAACTGGTCAAGGATCTTGCAGTTCTCTGTTATTAGGGCACCAGCAGCATACATGCTTGTAAGTGAATCAGTTTGACTTTTGTTTTAATAATAGAATCAACAGTACTGAAAAAGAATTGGACATGAAGAAGTAGGAAAGAGGAAGAGACAAAGAAGGGTTTTGGCTATCTGCGGAAAGCAATTAGATGGTATCATTAACCTGAGTAATGAAGATAGGAGTACGTTTGGGGAGAAGAATAATGAGTAAGTTTTAGACATGTGAAGCATCCAGCGATGTCCAATAAGAAGCTGAATACACAGTATTCTAGAGGTTTGAGCTGAAGATAAAAGAGCTATGGGAACAGATTGTTAGAGTAAATTGAAAAGAATATAGAAAATGAGTTCAGTGAAGCATGAATAAGAGCTGCAAGTTTGCAGAGAAAAGGGATTGCCTGGCAGAAGTGGCAGAAGGACTGAATTGTGCACATTCATAGGCACGTGGAATAGCAGGATGAATGTGGGAAACTAAAGGGAGTTTGATACCAAAGCGCAACATATGAGAAGAAAGAGGCAGGCCACGTCCAGATTTTATAAAGGGAAATCTGGTATGTCAGTTATCCTAAAGAGCTTGGGCTTTATCTTGCAATTAATGGGAAATCACTGAAAGGTTTTTAATGGGGAGTGACTTGATACCATCAGACTGCTGACATTTATGATGGATGGAATATGGGGAGTCTGGCGGGAAAGAGGGAGACTAATTAGAAGTTCTTATAATCACTTGGTGAGAGAAAATGAGGCGTTTACTAAGATAGCAACAGTGGGAAAGGATGTGAGGACAAGAGTTGGGATATATTTAGAATTGGTTGGCTATAAGGGCAGAAGGAAAGTAAGGGGTCAAGGATGGTGCCTAGTGTTCTCATTTGGGTGAGTAGATGAATAAACCTTAACATCAACAAGTGTGGAAGATAATGGAGGAAGAAAAAAGAGACTGAGAAGGTATGGTCAAATAATTAGGAAGAAATATAGAAAGCAAGTAATGTGGCATGTACATCAAGAGTACGTCAGGAATGTAGAGAGCTTCAGGAAGTGGACAGTACTGCTAAGTGCTTTTAGCAGCCAAGTCAGTTAAGAACCAAAAATTTCCACTCTGATTTAATGACCAAGAGGACAATTTTTGGGTGAAAGTGGTTTCAGTGGGGTGGTACAGACAGAAACCAGACTGCTGTGGGAGGAAGACGAAGGGAGGAAGTGGTGATATTCTAGACACCTTCAAAAAGCATAGAAAGTAACACAAAATAGAGAACAAAACAAGACTATAGAATAAATTCAGTTAGATTTCTTTATTTCTTTGCTGGGGTGTAAGGATATATACATATATATATCTGTGTGTATATATCTACCATAAAGTATCAATGGCCATATATAGGTTATAAACATATATATTACCTATTACTCCTCTCTAAAAATATATATTCTAATCTATTTTTCTATAGATGAAATTCAATCATTTAATATACAGTGTGAATAATTTTTAATTATAAGAAGTGGGGCCAGGTGTGGTGGCTCACGCCTGTAATCCCAGCACTTTGGGAGGCTGAGGTTGGGTGGATCACAAGGTCAGGAGTTCAAGACCAGCCTGGCCAAGATGGCTAAACCTGTCTCTACTAAAAATACAAAAATTAGCCAGGTGTGCTGGCAGGCGCCTAT